ATCATAAAATTACCTTTCAGTCCAGATTTGTTACGTTGTTTCTTAGTGTGACCGCGAAAACCAGCTATACTTTAAAAATGTCTATTACACACTGGGCAAGCGTATAGATCTACTGCTTTTTCTGTTCTGCTCTCAAGTTTTAATTTCTCGTCAGACGGTCCTTCAAAATCACTATCACTACTATTATGGTCATGTGTTTCGTTGTCCGTGCATTCTTCTAATAAATAATCCAAGTCTATATCATCGTCCCATGACAAGAAGTCTGATGATGCCATTGAAAATACATGCTCATGAAATTTCACAGTCACCAGTTAAAACTTAAAACTGTTAAATATCGCTATTACAATATTTCCGACAAGAAATTTTGTGATGCTCTCTAGTGGAAGACAATATATGAAATAACAATTCCCAACTTACCTGAGGTGAGGTGACATGATGGCACGAACTGACAAATACAGTCAGATTCGTGCGTGAAATAAATTACCAGACCATCGTCGCCTTCATCGTTATCGCTAAACCATGTGATGATTACTGTCAAAACAACACACGGAAAGCCGGTTCCGACTTACAGCGCAGGCGCACAACCAAATCTCGCACTCGATACATTTCCTTCAAGAAGACAGTAGGACGTGCGTGGTATCACGAGAACTGCGGGAGTTTCCAGTCTCTGATATATACGTCTCTGATAAGAGATATACGAAATATTTCCTACAGAACTACAACTCTACCTAATACTATTACCTGTTATATCTGATATATAACTAAACCTAGTTATACCTATAACATCATTATAAAACACCTTTAATACAGTACCTATCTAAATAACAAACTATACAGACCAAGATAATATTTACTATGATTTCCCAACGCTAAAATACAAGATAAAAACAGAAGGACTAACCTTAAGACTAAACAATAATTAAGAAAACTAGAAAAGTACTTATCGTTCTGTTGGATTTCTCGGGAACTCTGTTGTCTAATCTATCCTCGGTCTGCTGATTTATCCCAAGCACGCTGATATCCTTCAGAATGAACACATAATGTCCACAGAAATCCCGCACTAGAATGCAATAGAACACAGGGAAATAGATGTACATCCTGGAGCAAGAAACACTGGTGATAAATAACGGAACCTAACACTATATCACTGACAACAGGTAACAAAGGTACGCTAAGCCTACAGGGAGGTGTCGACAGCTTGGGGTCAGGAATTGGGTGTGTCCCGCTCACTAGATTTTTTTTTTTTTTAGGTGAACGTCCTTGTTCCGGTTATAACAGAGCCAAGGACACTAAGGGGGAGGGGGCTGGTAGGGCCGAGGCATTAAGGTGTGTAATTTCGCTCACTAGTTTTGGGCTCACACATTCTATATTATCATGTAGCCCTGTACCTGACAGAGGACACCCTGTTCAGGCTCCTTAGGGAACTGTACAATTTACCAGACAGGACCTTTCTGTGTTTCTTCACCAATGGTAAATTAGTATACAAGATAAGCTTCACTTTTTAAAAACAATATAAAAGGTCATGATAAAAGAAGACTTCCTCTACTTTCTAATGATATACTACATATTTAAAAGTATTGTTATACTTATGTGATATTTAAGAAAAGCTAACTTCAATATACTGCTATGCAGTTTCAAGACTGCTATCTATTGCAATTCTGAGAACAGGTACAAATTCCTAACAACTTAATGAATCTTATGACATTCATATTCTGATCTAAATTGTACAATATCTAAAGTTATTACTTGTTTTAGATATAAGATAAACACATTTCTTCATTCTGGGATACTAGATAATGTAACTGTAGCTCACTGTGGAGGGGTCAGACCCTTCCCTTCAGCCAGGGGGATGTTGACCCAGCATGACGCTACTATCTATACACACTGTAATGGGCAGACTGACCTTTATTATCTATGTACTCATTATTTATCAAATAGAAGACTAAATAAATAACCAAGACAGTTGATACAGATTATGGTCATATTTATTTTGAGGGATGTAATATTTTATATAGATGGCGAATATAGGCCAATGACTTCAACTGAATCAGCATAAGAATGGAGGAAACTGGGTACAGAAAATTCCTCCAAAAATAGCTGATGTTAACTAGTAAGTGAGGCATTAATATTAAATTCAGGATATAATCAGCAATCTGTTGTCAGAGTGCAATAAACTGAGCCACTGCAAGGAGTGTAGTTGAAGTCTTGACAGATAGGTTCCTGATGTCCAGGTCACTGCAAAGACACAGAAACAAAAAGCACAGCAGAATTTGAAATGAAAACTGGAGGGGTGGGAGGGATATTTTTTCACTAAAACGTCCACTGATCTCTTTGCTGCCTAAGCTTGACCTTGCAAAATGGCGAATGCACGGCTATGACGTAATGAACACCAAGGGAGTTAACTCTACAGATACAAGGGACATAACTCTAACGAATTTAACTAAAGTTGGAATAGCTGACCGTAAAGAGTGTGGTCTTCATATGATAATAATTTAATTTATCAAATAGAAGACTAAATAAATAACCAAGACAGTTGATACAGATTATGGTCATATTTATTTTGAGGGATGTAATATTTTATATAGATGGCGAATATAGGCCAATGACTTCAACTGAATCAGCATAAGAATGGAGGAAACTGGGTACAGAAAATTCCTCCAAAAATAGCTGATGTTAACTAGTAAGTGAGGCATTAATATTAAATTCAGGAAATAATCAGCAATCTGTTGTCAGAGTGCAAAAAACTGAGCCAAATTGAAATACTGTTGAAAACAGTATTGCAACCGCCACAACAGAGTGCGAAATCATGCTTGGTCGTAGGCAGATAATGAAAACTTTCTACTTAAAATACTATTATAAAACAATCAAATTTAGCACAAAGCAAACTTTGGTGTAGAGCAAATTCAACGTACTTACATAAAAGTTGGGTTGGGTTAAATAAAAAATTGGGTTGTCCCATGCTGTCAGTATGTAGTATCACAAAATACATACAAATATCTGCCAACAAGATACAGATCAAAATATGGCGCCGACCCCTAGCAACAAACATTGGGCTATTTGGCAGCCATCAAAACAGCACAAAGCAAAACATACAAAAGAAATGTTAGCTTTAAATTGGCAGTAAACTTGACCAAGCATTCTCCTGGAAATTTATGTTGTCTAAATCTAGGATTTCAAAAAACTAGCCATGGGCCAGATTCACCTAACGATGGGGACATACGAGAAGTGGTCGACAAGAATGCCTTTAATCCTTCCTGTAGCCGATAAAGAAAAATATCATTACCTAAAGGGCTTAAGTGAACATCATCAATAAAAAATGCTGAGTCCTTGTCTGTAATTTCCGGGTACCGAATATAACCACCACCATTTCTGAGTAAAAATGCACTGATCTGACTATTAATACGAACTGGTATCTTTCGCACCGCACTATGAGACGAACTACCCCTCCATTTTAACCTTGGTAAAATCACTGACCACACAATCCTAGTATTTGGTAGCATGACAGATATCGTCTTCAGAACAGCCAACATCCTATGCCTTAAATGGCAAAACTTACATTGCCCCACATCATTACCTCCACAATGAATAACCAACAGCTCGGGAGGGTCATCAATTGGTTATAGAGCCTTAATGTGTCTTACAAGGTTATTCCACCTTAAACCACCCTTGGCGTGCCATGAAATGGATGCCTGAAAACGCCCCATATCCAGCTGTGACCTTTCTGGTGATGATCGGGCGTGGCAAAAGGCTCGGCGAATGATAGAGGAGCCCACTATCCATATTCGTCTGTTGCATGCTGAAACTTGAGCTTAAAGTAAGCTTCCAGCACATTGAAACAATTCACAATCGATAATCAGATGAGGAACAATTGAAAATCAGTTTGCCAGTTTTCCAAAAATTGTATAAATTTTACAATGAGAATTGATAACATGGTAGTTACTTTTAAAAGAACCCATAACTACTTGTTTGTATTCAAACCAACAGTGCACAATTTCCATGACTGAATAATACCAAAATATAACCACTTTAGATCAACAACTTCAATCCAACTATCGATTGTGGAATTTGATAATCCCTTGATTTTAAACAGATATGTTGCAATGATTTATAAAATGATAATTGGCATAACACTATTACACTAACTCAGCAGTTGGTATTCTAATGTACCTTTTGAAAGCCCTTGATTCCCAACGACCCATTTCCTTAATATTCTCATCTGAGAAGCCTTTGTAAGCTGCATAAGTTGCAGCCCCAACCCTGAAGGAGTGTGATTTGTAACTATCTTCCACCCCTAACGCGTTTAATGATTTCCTTAGAACTGCAGAGAACTGGTATCGTGTTACTGCAGAACTGTCAAGGTGACAAAAGAAGGTACCAGGACAGGGCCTACATATATCAAGATACTGTCTAACTAAAGTGTATGGACAGATATCTGAAGCATTCCTTCTTAAGGCTATAACAACCCCTGCCCCTGCCTGGTCAGTTTTAGAATGAGGAAGCCTTATCTCTACCACCCCCTCCTTATCGAACACTTTAACATTGTGTACCAATAAAACATGCCCGGCAATGCCCTGCTTGTCGACAACTAATTCTCCTACACGTAGAAAGGCAAAAAATGCCACGGAAAAAATTGCAGAAAATAATACTGCTTCATATGTGGAGCTATAAACAACAGGCAAAATATGAATAACCCTGCGTAACAGTTCTGGTGATAATGGAAGACGTGTATCTGAACGTGTATCCAGTCTTGACATGCCTAGCAACATTTTCTTGACAAGAAAAAAAATGTGTCGCATCTGAAACATTAAGCAATTTACACCCTAATCCTGCGACATATGATTTAACTGTAGCAGGAGCAATACCCTTTGAAGATAAGAATGCAATAAACTCGACAACTTGCTGCTGCGTGGGTGGCCAAGTCAAACCCAAATTAAACTTCTGCCGAAAATCTTCTAACCCTGTGTTGTAAACCTGTCTAGAGTTCGATGAAATAGAGGCTCTCAAAATTCTCTCAATTTCATGCTGGAGATGAGCTGTTTGAATGCTGCTGGTATTACTTCCGGAAGCCGAGCCGCATGCGGAGCTAAAGACCGGAAACGATCCCACTGCTTGCGAGAGATGGCATCAACAATAGAATTAGTATTTCCTGGGATATGCAATGCCCTGAATTGTATGTTATGAAGCATGCACCGCAATACCAAGGGATGGACAAGACCCATGATTCTACAAGACCTAGAGGTTTTATTGTTCAAAATTGTAACCAAGCTTTGATTATCAGTATGCAATAGGATTTTTTTATTCTGTAATTCTGCCCCCCAAATAAATGTTGACATGACTATAGGCACAAGTTCCAGAAAAGTAATGTCACGAATAACATCAGATGCAATCCACTGTTTAGGCCAGGAAATAAATGCCCATTTCCCATGGAAATAGGCCCCTCCACCTTTACTTCCATCCCCACCAGCACTATCAGTATAGAGCTCCAGCTGAGAGTTGTCTACCCAGAATCTCTCCGGGAAACTACAATAGCCATTGTAAAGCTCAAAAAACATAAGCAAGACCTGAATGTCCTCTGTCATGCCATGTGTAACCCTAATAAAATGATGACTCTTCTTCACCCCTGACATAGCATTATAAAAACGCCGAATAAATGCACGTGCGGATGGGATAGCCCTTACACAGAAATTTAGGGATCCTGCCAAAGACTGGAGTTTTTTAAGAGTTACTTTTTTCTTAACTCGAACTCCATGCAATAGGCTCGCAAGGGCCTGTAGTTTGTCAATAGGTATTTTTATGCGCTTGACAGAATCTATTTCCAAACCTAAAAATACTAGCACTGGACTTGATAGTACCGTTTTATCTTCAGCAATAGGGACACCCAACTCTTGACAAACTAGCTCAAATTTTTGCATAAGATAAAGGCAATCAGAAGTGCCTGCTCTTCCAGCGAAGAAGAAATCATGTAAATAGTGGTCAAGCCCTAATGCTAGCTCAGTATTTAAGGACAACGCCTTATTACGGACAATCCACACTCTAAAGCCGAGGAGAATTTCTCAAAAAGTGCACACGAAATGGCACACCCCATGGGTAAACATTTGTCTACAAAAAAGTTATCACCCAATTTAAATCCTAATAGTTCAAAATCCAATGGATCTACCGGTAGCAAACGGAAAGCCGATTTAATATCCATTTTGCCCATTAGAGTATTAGGACCTAAAGAATTAAGGCAACCGCTATTGACACGTACGTGGCAATAACTGTACCGGCTATTACCACGTATTTTTAGAAATGACGCATGCGCACATTGATGTCAAAAAAAAATAAGTGGCACAAGGTAAACTGTCATGGCTGCCGTGTATGATATACGTTACTTGTATTGGAGTTAAATAATGATGTTTCGTGATAAATTTAACTAGTTTTGTGACATTTTATGTAATGCACGATGTTAATATGATGTATATGAGTCAAGTTATGTATTTGTATAGTGATGACAATACTTGATTTCTGTGAAGCTTGAAGCTGTTGGTTTTTGTGCCACGTAAATTACGTGTCACAGTTCAACAATGTATAATGAACAATTTTCTCTCTAATATACTTCGACTGATGAAATATTTGTTGTAATCATTATCATAGTTAATGTGCAATGGAGGATATTTATTTATATAGCGATGACAATACTTGATTTCTCAATAGAGGATCGTTTTTGAAGCTGTAGGTTTTGTGCCACGTAAATTACGTGTCACAGTTCAACAATGTATAATGAAGAATTTTCTCTCTAATATATAGTTGGACTGATGGAATATTTGTTGTAATCATTATCATAGTAAATATGTTCAATGGAGGATATTACTGGATTAATTTTTGTCATGTAACTTTGACTGAATTTTTGTACAAAATTTCCCCTCTGACACAGTTCAAACTTGCTTGCCTGTGACACGTAAAATCTGTCTTTTTGCATCTACAGTATATATGTAGCAATAGCAGCTAATTAATAGCTTATTACTTGTTTCAAAAACATGGATGTAGATTCTACTTCTATTAATTTTGAATTTAGTTTTAAAATTTCTTTTCCTTTTCTTCATATAATTGTGTCACATAAAGTGGGATTTATAGGCATAATCCCTAAGTAAAGAGAGATATGAACACCAGACTGGACAGTTTCCTCCAGCTAAAAATCAAGGAAAAAATGTAGAACTCTTAGCCATTAATGTAAATGTTTCCAGACTCAACGACGCGGACGTGGTTCTACCCTGAGTCCAATATTTAAATTTTAAATTTTAAACTAAAATTTGAATGAAATTTAATAATTTACTGAATAATTTACTGATAATCAGAATGCTAGATATCTAATTGTTTTTGCTAAAATTTCATGCATTTTTTGTTTGTTTTAGAATTTCATTTGTGACAAAAAAAAATTGAATTTATAATTTGAATTCTTTAATTTATTATCTAAAAAAAGTAATTTTGTAACTGGATTTAATGTTATTTATTGATTTCATTACATTTTTATTAAAATTTTATACTGGTCTTCTATCTGCTTCACAGAACTCACTACAGTAAAATGGACCATCAGGATTGTTGAATTTTTTCACAGATTTCCGATTAATGCAATTGTACATTCTATCATATTGTCTACATCTTCATCATATGGTCGTCTACAGTTACAATAAATTTGAATTTTAAATTTTCCATATTTTGAATTTCTTGTTGATTTTGACTTTGGCGTATTTGGAAACATTATGAAAGCTCCAGATTCTAAACAGTTTACAAGATGAGAACGCATTTTGTTTTGATCAAATATTATATTTTTAGGATCTTCTCCAAAACAGATTGCTACAGAAAATGCTATTGCAAATAATCCACAGTCTACACCTCCACATTGTTGTTGAACAGGAACATGATTAACAGATATTTGGGAATTTTCTGATTTTAGAATGGTGCATATTTGTTTTTGAACTTCCATTGAAACTTTCTTATTAAGACTGTCATACAAATTTACCTCATCTTTATTACAATTAACGGTAGATACTGTAATCCAATGACCAGCACTTTTATTACCTTCAAACATAATTTGTACCATAGGATCCGTTACATTTTTGAAATTGTCCAGATGCTGAGAAAATATAGTTGGTTGCAAACCTTTCATATTAAATTGTTCTGACATTAAGTTTTGAGCTGCTAATATCACTGTATCATCCAACATTTGTTCTCTTTCAATCATTGATTTTTTTTCTTCTGATAAATTTCCATTATTTTGAGAAAACTTAATATTTTCTGATTGAATTTCTTTTCTTTTATTTGTTTTTGAGAAATGATAGAATGGTTTATTACTTCCCTTTGGCCTACCTCTACGCTGTTTTACAACATTTATTTTCATTATGTTTCTTACTTCATTATCCACTTTACTTCTGTTAAAGGTGATTCTGATTCTTTAGAGTGTTCAATTACTTCTGTAATTTCAGTACAAGTTTTTTTATTACTTTCCCAGGATTCTTTTAAAGATTTTAAATGTTCTATTTTTTCAATGAATTCTTCCTGTCCACAAGTAGCTAAAAATGATGCCATATCTTTCAAAATTTCCATTGCTTTGTTGTATTTTTCTCTTTCTGTTAATGGGTCTACTTTTTTGGTACTTTCAGTTTCCCTTTTAACTAGCACAATGTTTTGTAATGGTGATTCCTCCTGCTCTTGTTCAAAATCAAACTTACTATTGAGTTGCCACTTGGATGGTATAAGGGATTGTATAAATAACTCCACTCCTAAATGTTTTCTACAAGCAAAGATGTGTTGGCATGGTAAACAATATATAGTATAAAATGTGCAGGAGCACTGTTCCATATTTCTGTCTACATAATATGTCTTGTGTTGGTATGTAACTTCTAACTTTTCAGTATTTTCAATCAGACGGATGTCAAAATCTCTTTCAGAATGTTTTTCAAGTTGTGGTCGAATAAGATCATATGCAGCTTTTACACAGGAATTAACAATTATATCACTTACTGAGTTAAGTTTCTTGTAATCTACTCTTGTTTTTAGTGTGTTGAAAGTTGATTTAGCTATGGAGTCAAAAGAATCTTTTATGAAGCGAAATAGTCCCTTAATTGATTCTGACAAGTGTGAATTTCTCTTGATATACATCTTAAGTTTCTGGTTGTGGCTTTCCACTTTATTGTTGGTGTGATTTCCTAAGAATTTGGTTGTTGTCCTAAAATGGTGGACCCACATCTCCTTACAGCTATGCCAGTTTGTGTCAAAATAATCTATAAACTCAGGAAATTCTTTTTGCAAAACAGAATAATTTTCATTGTAATCAGATGCTGTGGGCGAATAAATAAGTTTTGAAAGAAGAAACATTAAACTAGATTTCCTATCACGTTTGATTTCTAATTCACTAACCTTTTTCTTGAAATATTTCATTACATGAAAAGTACACAATAAAATCTTTATATCTTTGATTTGTTCTGTTATTACTGATATCTCTGTCAAGTCTTTGTCAACCATAGCTACTGTTGTTGATGAAGTGTCATTGAGTTTACAAAAATGTCTAATTGCTGATGAAATATTTTCCTTCTTTTCAGATTTGAGATAGCAGTAAGCAACTGGTCTACCATGTCTTTCACTGTCTTCTACCATTATCACTAATAAAGAGTAATTTTCTATATTGAGTTTGTATGTCACGTCAACAAAGATAATGTCAGGATGTTGTTTATATAGTTCTTTCATTTTGGTGGTTTGAATAAAAAGTAGCTCCAAAGAATTGTCATTTGCCAACTCATATATGATAGATGCACTAGGATCTTTTTGTTTATATTCGTCTAAGATGTCAACCACCAGTTGTGCTTCTGTCCGTCCTTTCTTCTCAAATGTCTTAGTCTTGTTTTTTGCATTATTTATGTCCCTATTCGTAACCTGTTTCCCTATATTGTCAACAACATAATCCCTAATGTCTTTTGTGTCTACATTCATGTCAAAGAAATGTTTAATTTTGTCAATGTCGGTGTCACTGAGTTGTCTATGTCTTGGATAAAGTTTGTAAAGATCTTCCGAGATAGGATGGTTGTGGTTGTCACAGAATTTTGTTATAACATACTGCTGTTTCTTTGCATCAAATTTTAATCTCAACATAACTGGACAATCTTTTGCTAAATATGATTGATTACTTCTAAATGTTTTACCTCTCATTCTTTGTTGAGCTTGATGTTTACAAACAACTACAAAATAATCATAAGGAAACTCTGCACTATCCGACCCCTTGATTTTACAACTATCCTTGACACGAACAGAATGGTGATTTTTTTAACTCCACTCATCTAGAGCAAACTGAAAAGACTCAAAACTTGGAAATACTGACCCTATACCAAACTGATCTCCTCCTCCAACATGACTTCCTAACTTCACATCATCACTTAACTTTTCATTACTTAACTCCTGTACACCTGATTTTCCACCAACTACCTTCTTAATACCTAACTTAGAAACAATTACTTTCCGTTGACCTAACTTCTTACTACCTGACTTAGCACCTTCTACCTTTGGACCACCAGACTTCTTACTAACTGATTTCTGACCACCTGACTTAGCACCAACTACCTTCCTATCACCCGACTTAGCACCAACTACCTTGGGACCACCAGACTTTTTACTAACTGATTTCTGACCACCTGACCAACTTATCTCCAAACCTATTGTCACCACGTGGAAGGATAGCAGACAACACCACAACAACCTCCGGATTAACCTGCCATATCCTTAGCACATGAATTAAATTGTTTGCACCACTAACTACCTTCCTACCACCCAAATTGTTGCAATATGAAGACTGACTGTAAAATACTGGTATTTATACACATAAATTCAACTGTAATGTTGTTATATGCAAAGCGAGTAGTAATTCACTCATTTAATCTTTATTTCATATAAAAGCAGAATAAATATATTAATTAACAGTGAAACAAAAGAAATCTGAAAAAAAAGCAATGTTAAATTATCACAAAATATATACAGCACTATATATATATACACACAAAATATATCTGAAAAAAGAATGAATATAAGAATTACATCTAAATATATACCAGGCCTAGGCTATACAGAAATTACTGTAATGTTGTTATACCGAATAATATTTAATATAAAAGCAGAATAAACTAACCACTGTCTGTATACTATAGCTACAGTGGGCTGCTGGTTAACACCTGTTCAGACTACATGTCTTATGAACAGTGTTCATTCACCCCAAGCTCACTTACAAAGATATACCATTGTCATGATTTCAGTGTTTATACCATAAAAATTCATGTAATTATTTTGTGCAGATAAGAATTAGTAACCGTTAGAGTGATAAAAATAGAAGTAGATTTCTCAGAATATGTTGGACTAGTAAGTGAGCAAATCAGCTGTTATGGCTTCCTATCTAGCTTTGACACGTAAATTGAGCACTTGTTCTAATGTTATGAACGCAAAGAACTATAAACAGAATGGTAAAGTTTTGTGTTATATAATAGTAAAATTACATCAAATTCACCACTTTGATTGCAGAATTTCGATTTTATGATCAAGACCACTCTACTTGGACGCCATATTGTAAACAACAAGAAAAGTGTCACGCTGAAAGAGTGTAACTTTCGGCGTTTATATGGGCATATTAAATTACATTTGATCACAGTTTTCGACCAAAATATTTGAACCATTACTTAAATGAATATGTATATGCAATATTATTGATAAATAATACATATTAACGAAAATCAAATACGTGGCACAAAAGGAGTGGTTATTGACACGTACGTGGCAATAACCACTCCGAAGAATTAATGATATCAATAAATCTGTCAAAACTAGTGTAGTGAACTTTACACAGATCTTCATCAATAAAAGTATTGACACTATTATCCTTAGGGTATGACAAATGATGAATTAGCCTCCACGAACCATCTTTTTCCGGAACTAAACCTATTGGTGAAATCCTTAAATTTGGCAAGGGGATATAATTGAATGGTCCTGCAACTCTACCTGCCTTTATTTCCTTACATACTTTGAGCCACGCCTCTGCTTCTTTGCCTTCAACAGAGAGCAGGTTCCTACATATTGAGTGCTTGCGTGGCCCATGGTAACGCAAAGAAAAACCTGAGCTGAACCCAGAAACTAATTCCCTAACTAATTGCCTATCTGGATGTAACTGAAGCAAATTCAGCTAAACACTGCACTTAATTGGTGTTACTCCTGGGGACGTTAGGTCTGACATTACCCCTGGCTTGATGTGTTGAGCCGGGCATTCCGACTGAAGGTTTGTTTGCAGACCTAAAAGTAGAAGACAACTAGCGCTGGACTGTTGATTTTGTTGAGGACAATTTATTTTCTTATGACTACCACTACATTTCAAGCACAGATGTTTGTAAAAACAAACAGACCTAGAACAGTTCCAATTGTTAAAGTCAAAACATTTCTTAATGCTACCCATTGCACTCGGAGCCTGTTTTGTATTAAAATGAGCATTCCCACTCCCGTGCATGTAAAGGAGCCATAACTTTTGATCAACAACATTCCAAGGCAAAGAATGGCTTTGAGCCCTTTTCAGGCGAAACAGTTCGTCATAATTTTTCCAGCCTATTCCCCCGGCCCGCCTAGCACCTAACCGAACAGAATGCAAATATTTCAAAAGGCCAGAAATAGCATGAGGATGAGCAGATGTATAAATGGATATGTAAACAATAAAGGCATCTGTCCATATGTCTATATTGTTAATTTTAGTTGGTTTTTGTTTACTTTTTATAACCATCTCACCATTAGACAGAGATAAGTGTCTCTCATCATCCACTGGAATTGGTTTAGATACCAAAATGCCCAGATCAACATATTCATTTCTTATAATTTTTTGTTTAATAGTCGGGGATACGTTCATTCCCAAATCGTCAGAAACACTGGGGATCCTGTGTGACATCGGATCAAATTGATCAAGGATTAACCGAACAGGTTGGGCTGGGGTGGAATCATTGGGAGCAATACCAAGTTCATCCATACCTGTTGGCTGTGCTCCAGTAACTGGCTCAATGGCCTGATGCACTGCCTCCACTAGTTGCGGCGCCACCCGGGCTGTCACTTGGGAGACCACCTGCTCCAATTGCCTGTCAGAGAGTGGTGGGCCTTCTGCAGAAACAACCCGAGGTGCTGAACTGCCTGAACTTTGAGCCTGGCTCTGGTCCATTACAGCATCGGGCCTAGCTGCCCTAGCATAGGGGCTCTTTGTTGGTCTGGTCGACTTCCTCTTGACACCTTTACCTCGCATCCTTAACTGAAACTCACATCACAAATATGTTAGGTAAAAAGTGGAATGGGCTCAAAGATAAAAAAAACCCCTTTTAATGGCAATTTATACCCTAATTATGGAACTTTGAATATCCTTATTTTAGATATAAGAATATGTATTTTTATATGAAATACCATATCCCGTCTGTATGTAAAAGACCCAAGGGGGAAATAATAACATTCCCTGAAATTAACAATGTGACAGTGTCTCCTACAACAGGCGTGACGGTATCTAAGTTAACATGAACCACATGGGAACAAAAACAATATATGCATATACATGTATCAAAATTATAAAAAAAAATATCTCTGATAAAGATATATGACGGTTATCCTACATCATATCAAGAGATACAGCTAAACAGCGCGATAGCTTCCGACGTGAAACCACGTGGAACGACCGCCCCGCCATTAATTCATAATCTTGTAGAGCTCAATACGCTGCATACAATAGAGATTAAAATCGAACGACATCTATTTCAATACAAACCACGGTTGCAACCTGTTAACATAAACAGTATTGGCGAACTAAAATGCGTCCTAATCCAATGATATTCGTCGTAATCGAATAAAAAGAAGATATTTTTTCGCTAAAACGTCCACTGATCTCTTTGCTGCCTAAGCTTGACCTTGCAAAATGGTGAATGCACGGCTAAGACGTAATGAACATCAAGGGAGTTAACTCTACAGATACAAGGGACATAACTCTAACGACTTTAACTAAAGTTGGAATAGCTTACCATAAAGAGTGTGTGGTCTTCATATGATAAATTAAATTATTATAATGAAATAATTTTTAATAATTCTGACACATGTATTTCCTATCTGTCATAGTAGTAAGGAAGGGGAGGACGGGGTGAAATTGAAAGAGTAAATAGGATTAAGTAAGATAGCAGGAAACAGTTGATTTGCATTTTCCTGAAAATATTGATCATGTTTTGAGGTAGGTAAAGCAGTTTGGTTATTTATATACTGAGAGGAAAAAGAAATGCAATTAGCAGAAAGTTAATATTGTAAATTAAATCCTTGACGTACACCCTTGAAACTTGACAAATGTGTGCATTTGAGTTAGGTCCCTATAAAAGCACTGATACATAGCTTAACTGTGCACGCCGCTTGTACAAAAGAATGAGAGACAAAAGCACGATATTTCGAACCCAGTATAAAGGATTGGTTCAAAATCTGTGTGTGCGAATCTTCAGACATATCCGTCTTGATTTCCCACATTTCAAGCATAAATACTGTGGATTCATTTTATTTCGTGGGGGTCCAATTTTCGTTGTTTTCGTGGATGAGCAAATCCACGAATTTAAAAACAACGAAATATGAACTTCTTACTAAAGTAATTTTGGAATTTGACCAAGTAATCTTTGCAGACACCGGAAACGTCCACCGGTAATGACAGAAGCCCCGTAATTAGTCGGGAGTCGGGTAGTCTGAGGCTCGACATGGATACGCTAAATTGGTGTCAACGACATATAATTATATATTATTAAACATAACAAAGGGTAATTACCCATTGTGATGCGAAGTATAATGGGATCGCAGTCGTTAGCGACACTGTGGACACTAGGCTTGATCGGACCATCCTGTCGATTGAAGATTGGATCCGTATTTCTATCCGACTACAGGTTCACAATAATTATTAATAAAAACAACAGACACAATTTGATGAGATAATGAATTAGTTTATGCATTTCAAATATTCAATCAGAAGAAAACAACAACAAAGTAAGCACTAGATCATACAAAACTTTTTAACACCCTAAACATTTATGAAACGTGTAATGCTACGCCTTGACATAATATTCCAGCACTAA